AGTTTTATCTCATTTACTGAGGTTTTAACAGCTGGATTCTTATATTTTAACCCATCTCCTTCTTAAATTTGAGGGCATAAACGTCTGTTTTATCATTGTCAATTATCTTCTTTATGCGAACTTAAACTAGCTAATCTTCAACTACTTACTGCAGTTCTTAATATCTTTATGAGCTATCACCACTTTTCACTTTGGCCATCCTCGAATTTTTTTCCATCCACCAGCAGTATACTTTTTTCACTACTTTATAGTTGAAATTTTGATCACTTATATTCAACTATCAATTACCTAAGTACGTTGTGCAGTTTGTTATCAGGTCATTTTCTAGGAAGAAAGCTAAGAGTGATGAAATCAGTTCATGATGTTATTGCCTGTTAAATTGAACTCTACCTATAGTTGCAGACTATCTAGTCATGTCTTTAACAATTATCGTTGGTGACGCTGGATGACACAAATGATTATGAGTTCTACTGGTACAAATGCGTTCACACTTTCGATTTTTAAACCACTTTATACTTTCTATTCCACGAATTCATTCCTTCTTCTTGAATCACATCGTCACTTATGCTTAGTATTTTCTAATACTACTACTAATATTGTTACTACTTCCATCATTGCCTTGATAATTTCGTCTCAATGTGGTCGGTATGCTTTGGAACTTTGAACTGCTGCATTTATACAACACCTTCCTGATTGGTTACATCTAATTGATTGACCTACGGTAAACTCTCATATACTTAGGCTCTTTGGTCGAGTAATCCTCTAATCTTCAATAAAATTGAGACTTGATTGTGTATTAGGTGTACAGCTTAATTGTTTTCCCAACTGTCATTTGTCATTTTAACTGTTTCATTTTTTTAAAATTTTATTTTCACTTTTTAATCAGAGTGAAATTAGACTGGTTATCATTACGTGATCCAAATGATCATCACTCAGTGAAATATTGTTATGCAGATAATCTAACATCAGGAGAACAAAATCAGGTTTGTTTAATATTCATCTCTGGTTTTCTTTCTGAAAGCATCGATCGAAATGCGTTTTTACGTTACTATTGGCTTAATCACATGTTTAGATATTGATTTACTAATCTAACTGTTCGATTCACTGATTAGTTCAAAGGAAAGTTCCTAATGCGAACTTACAAAGTACAGAGGTGCCTGTTACGGGGGGCTGAGTGGTTACTTATAAGTATTCTTCACTCGATATAAACCAGTTAGATTTAAAATAACCATTATTGGGTGCTTGCTCAAGTTCCAGAAAAAATGACAAATAGATGGGATGTAGAAAATCTGTAACCCATGTAGAGTTTGGTTCTCTGATGTAAATGGTTTAATCTTGAAGTTGCCATCAGATAAAGTGTTCTCACTCCTCATCTTTGTCTGCCTAAACATCAGCTACTTGCAAGACACTATGATTTATGAACCATTGCGCATATCAATCCACTCGGAAAATGCCGAAGTTTTCCATAGACAGAATACTGAGAACAACACCAGATCAGTCGTGAAATTTTGGCTCTCAGATTAGTCAGAAAACAATAAACGCGTGAAGATCAATTCAGCCTCTCCATCGATTAGAAACGAAATGTTTTTACTAATATTTATAATGTGGAGATATTGTTACATCACCGGTCGATTGAAATTAGGTGCACACACACACACACCATGGGGAGTAACCACTGATAGGTGTAAATACTTACTTCGCATCACGTAACCTAAAGATCCTGGGTTCAATTGCCCATTGGACCGTGAGCACTCAATGCTGAAGAGTCTCATGTTGAGACGAACAAGCTATTTAGTGCTTTCTACTGTTCACTAGTTGTTATTTAACTAGGATTAGCCTATGATGTCAGTCAGCGAATTCATCACTGCATTTCGATATCATTTATTACGGGAAAACAATGAATAACATTTTTACTCTTATCAGTAATGCTCCCATTATTATTATTATTATTATTATTATTATTATTATTATTTTAGTGCGATTCCTTCAAATACTTTCGAGCGAATCGTTTAGCTATGGAAGTTAACTTCACTGTGAAACCACCACCAACAGGATCATCTACTATGGATCAAAAACCTTGGTGTTTATTCTATACAAGTGTATTAAAATTTGCTGATAAACTACGAGTAATGCTTTTTTTTTATAGATTTTGATTATTTCTACATTCTTGTATATAATAATTGTCTGATTTATTGTATTATAGAATGTCAAAGGATGAGTACATGAATACATGAATAAATAATTATTAGATACACAACGCTCTATCAGCTCACACAGTGAGAATTAAAAATGATCTTGACTAATCACTGAATTTACTGTATCGATGTAATTAGAACAGTAGTGGACCGATGCCTTAGGCAGATCACATTTTATTTATTCATAATTAACAGCATAAAACCGACTAGTTTGTCTTTTTGTTTTCATCGTATTTACATAACCTATTGATTATTTGTTGAAAATTCATACGTTCGTTGTCATGTATTCCATATGAACAACCACAACCTTGATGATGATGATGATGATTGTGGATTAAGAAGTGATGAGACAGTTGGCTGCCCCTTCAGTTTATGAAGTCATTCACTGTTCAAGTGAATTGTATATATAATGGGGAGGGGAATATGGATTATTTGGTTGAGGTGTGTTGTATATGGTCATGTTAATCAATGGTTGGAAACATTCTAACATAACTTCCAATGGCACAGATCCATCCTTATAGATCTTAAGTTTTCTAATAATCTCAAAACAAACCTTTTTCCCAATTTGCTTATAATTGACTGATATAAATAACTAACCCTGGTCTTACTAATAATAAGACGAACTGTCATTATCAGTATGGAGATTATCAAATTGTTCTAGTTTTGAAAATTATAAAATGACCTGACCACCATTAGAAACTTAGAAGCATTATATAACCATTTCTTTACAGTGTGCTAAGAGTTGGCAGTGTGCATCCACGGCTCTAACACGAGATAAAATCTAGGACTTTCAACATCACACGCGAACGCTTAACCTCTTGATCACTGAGTCTGTATGTCGAGTGAAATACCGCCACAGACAATAGGAGATGGTTGTGAATTGATTTGAATTAGTCATAACCGCTGGTCTTACTGGTCTAGAGGATCAACGTTCGCGCTACGATCAGTTGGTAATTTAAAATCTATGGAAATTGTATAATCTGTACAAAGCTGTCTACTGTTAATTATTCAGTTAGTGGTTAGCATTAAAACTGCATTCGTGTGTACTTCACTGGGTTATCATGATTAGTACAGGATTGCTATGTTGTTATGTTTGAATTTTCATCAGATGTCTATACTACGCAGTAACTATCTATAACATGTTGGAGGAGTTGTGGATATTCACAACTCTTGAAGATTGTAATCTGCGGTGGCCATTAGACTCCAGCTGATGAAATTCATGTAGAATTATTTTCATTTATTTGAGTTGTGTTATTCACATCTCTCTTTTTCTAATCGTCGGTTAATCACGCGAACTTTAACCAAATTGTATGAATCTTTCTAATATGGCTCATCAGTTCAAAGGCTCAAATGTATTTTTATATATATGAAATAGTTTTAGCCATGAAGTCGCTGGCAGCCTCTCAGTTACTTTAGTTTCTTTCTCCTTCACATTATATCCATTTTTCAAATTCGTACTGGTTTATTTCACAATCATCAATTTGATGGATTTTAGGTTTGTTTATCACAAATCCCCCGTCCAATTCGTCGTGGTTCTTTATATCAATATAATCCACCGAGAAAACCACATTTTGGTCGTCTACTTCAGTAAGTTATTGCATTTTGCGACAAAAAAATTATACTTTTACAAGTTTCTATAAATGTATGCACACTTCTAATACCTTTACTACCTCTACTACTATTGAATTTGAATTGACAATTATATCTCTGTGCTAATGTGGTATGGCAACATGAACACTGATGTACTTACGTACGAAGTTCTACGTTGCATCTGACTGACTGACTGACTGAAATATATGCACACATATATATTCGTTTAATCGCTTTGTCTCATGATTATTATTATTTATTATTTTTTCTCTTAGATCATTAGAATTTAGTATTAATATACCTCAGCTGGAATTAATCTTTTGGGTTTCATATGCTAAACGTACTGGTGTACATGTTACCACTGGACCAATTCAAATTATTGGTAAATTAAAACGTCAAATAGAAAATGAAATGAAAGTGTATCGATTAATTGGCAATGCAACAAATCATTTCCCATTGACCTCTTCCTCATCCATACCACCAATATCATCGAAAATGATTAGTATACTACCAGTTGATGAACATTCCATTCCATTAGAATCGACCGGTATTCATATTATGCCACAAACAACCACCATTTTACATCCATATGTAATGATTCCACCAAGATTACCAATTCAACGTAATGGTCTGCTAAGACGTCCAATAGCTAATTGGTGTGTATTGAATTTATTTGCCAGTGTACATGATAGTGCAATCTATTTAAGGCATAGAGATAATCTTCCAGGTCCATTAATACAAATGTTATTACAATGTATCAATACGCATCAGAATTGTGTAAGTTGCATTGATTTTTATTTTTTTTTAAATTATTTGTGTTGATATTCAATTTTTTGTTATTGAACAAACATGTTGTATCGCTTAAGTCAATTTGATATCTGTTTTCGTAAGTTTTCCTTAGAGTCAAAGTCGGATATAGAGTTGTAGATGTATAACAGAAATCCATGAAGTCATTGACGAGTGGACTTAGCCATGTCAGTAATTGTCGACTACTTGGTTGGGGTCCGCGAGATGATAATAATCGATGGTTAGAGACCTTGAATGACATGGCTCAAAATCGTTCGCAATGGCGCCGGTGCATTTATTCTTTGTGTTCTCTCAAATCCTAATCTTCTGGATTCTTCAACCCCTCTAGTTTCGACTTTCTAAACTTTTCTCACTGAATCATAATTCTTGAATAGTATCTTCTAACCCTAACCTCTCCGATTACTTCTAATACCCTTACTACCTCTTCTAATATTGGATTTGAATTGACAATTATATTTCTGTGCTGATGTGGTATGGTGACATGAACTGATGTACTTACGTACGAAGTTGTACGTTGCATCTGACTGAATGACTGTAGATGTATAATGATATGGCGAATTGGTTGATGCCAGATTATAGAAATCTTCATTGACTAAAGTGTGTAAAGAATATGATCAACTGCTAACCTACCTTGAAGCATATGGTAGGAGTGTAAGTTGAAAGAATGCCATAGATAATTGCTATTATCAGGAGGTTTTCTGTTTCACATCTGCTATTTCTTCTTTGATAACCTCATGATCCTAAACAGTCAATTACTTATCTAACCCTACTCGATAAACTTTAAACACTGGCGAAATGTGCTAAGCTCCAAATAGTCCGCTAATACTCATGTATATTAGATTCAATTATAACTAATACAATAATATAACGAGTGTAATGCGCAGTAGTTCGCTCTGTCCTACTTTATGGCTGTGAAACATGGCCAGTGAGAGTAGATATTCGTAGGTTACTGGTTTTCGATCATAGGTGTCTTCGAAGCATTGCTCGTATATCCTGGGACATCCGAGTGAGCAACGCTGTTATTAGGAAACGAGTACTAGGTAAGAATGGCAGATCAATCGACGAAGTGGTGAAACTTCATCAGTTAAGGTGGTTGGGATATGTGTTACGTATGCCCAGCCACCGACTGCCTCGACGACCTTTGGTTTGTAGTGTAGGAGTAGGTTGAAAGAAAGTTAGGGGCGACCAGACCAAAACATAGCAGAAATGTATGAAGTCACTGACAAGTGGACTGAGTCATGTTGTTAAGTGTCGAATACCTGGTTGGGGTCCGCAAGATGATCATAATCGATGGTTAGACCGTAAATGACTTATCTCAAAACCGTTTGGAACGGCGTAGGTGCATTCATTCTTTGTGTCCTCTTAAGTCCTAAACTTTTTGTTTTCAAGTTTATTTCACTAGATTATACTTCCTGAATAATATCATGGAATCCTAATCTCTCCGATTACTGCTAACACTTTCACTACCTCTACTACTATAGGATTTGAATTGACAATTGAATCTCTGTGCCAAAGTGATATGGTTACTTGAACTGATGTACTTACGTAAAAATTTCTACTTTGCTGTTGAATTATTGTTTGAATACAATAATATAGAATAAAATGTGAACTATACATTAACATTAGCTAACAGATTACAATAAAAGCATTGTTGAATTGTAAGTTAAAGACGACTAAACGATTGATTTACAATAAATTAACAATAACTTAAGGAAGGCACAACGCATTACCCGATAGTGACAATATCAATAATTGATTTAACATGGAAAAGTTTACAAGTAAGAGAATATAAAGAAATCATACAGAAATTTAGAGTAGTTAATATGAACGCAGTCTTTTTAAGTAGGACAGTTTACATAACTTATCCAAACACTCTTTCCGTCATAATGATAACCAAACGAAAACATTTTGCATTAATTGACTGTTTGTCTGAGTTATGCTGATAGTCACAGATTACCTACTTGAAGTCCATACTGTTATGCTTGACAATTGATATGCTTAAACTATTACGAGTTTACCCTAGTCGGTAAACGAGAGCGACACAAATGATCCAGTGACACGATAGATTACTCTAATCCGAGCTCTCCAAGGCCCTGCTAACGATATCGAAAGTCTTAATATGGCGTAGAAAGTGTATTCTACATGCACCCAGAAAATATGAGGTTTACAAGCACACAAATCGAGTTTATTTATACATCATAGAAACATGCTTGGGAGAGCCACAAAAATAGAGTACTAGAATAACACATCAACCAATGACAGCCAAAGATTTTCCTGGTGGTAACTGTAATCTCAAGGTCAACTGATCGACCCATCAATAAAATCCGAAATTAGGACCTTTGTCAAGTGAGTTCCGGGGATCTAACGCCCCCAACACATAAGCGATCACTGTGATCAGAGTGTAATGCAGCTACAAATTAATACCATAGATCTATACTAAACATTATCTTATTGAACCATGTTTGAATTTGAGAAACAATGTAGCTATGTAGCTATGATTTACCGTATGAAATCTTGAAATAGTTTTTTTTTGTCTTTGTTTTTAAATCTACTTTTAAAACAGCCGAATGATGATAAACTGAATGATAATCAACAGTTACACAATACTAATCATCATGTCAACATTGATGACATGGAAAAATTGCATACAGAAGAAATAAATGACAATGCTGAAGCATTTATTCTAGTTCCATTATTACGTTATCAACAACTTTGTCCAACTGTTCTCCCATCAAATACAACTGTACGTGTACATATACCTGGACCACGATCCACTACAACTACTGCTCCAACCAATCAAACTAGTAATATTGATTCTGAAAATACAAATCTCAATTCTTCCAACATTGAATATAATTCAGTTCAATCAACGAACAATAACACACTAATCAATGCTATGTCTACTATTACTGAAAATTTAAATGGAGATTTCATATCGACATCACCAGTTGTTGATGAAGAAGCATCACCCATTCATCATAATGTTGTTGATGATGATGATGATGATGATGATAATCAGAACAATAATAATAATTGTACTACTCATGGCAAAGTTGATCATACACCAATCGCTGAAGATAATCATGCTGCTCCTCCCTGTGCCACTGATAGTCAATTGACACATGAAGATGTAAGTTGTTGTTACAAAATGATATCACTTGCGAAATTTTACCATTCACATTTCTTATTTTTGTCTATTTCTGCGTTAACTATTTCCTCTATAGCATAGTGTCCTGGACTTGACCATTTCTACTTATAACCAGCACCGTTTATTTTAATCGGACTAACTTACTTACTTACTTACACCTGTTACCCCCAATGGAGCATAGGCCGCCCACCAGTTTTCTCCAACCAACTCTGTCCTAGGCTTCCCTTTCTAGTTATGTCCAATGTTTGTTCATTCCCCTCATTTCTTTCTCTATTTCTCGGCGTAGTGTGTTCTTTGGCCTTCCTCTTTTCCTTTCACTTTCAGGGTTCCATGTGAGGGCTTGTCTCGTGACGCAGTTAGGTGCTTTTCGTAATGTGTGTTTTATCCACTTCCACCGCTTCTTCCTGATTTCCTCCATCACTGGAATCTGGTTTATTCTCTCCCACAGTTCTTTGTTGCTGATGGTGTCTGGCCAACGAATCCAAAGTATTTTGCGTAGACAACTGTTAATAAACACTTGTATCTTCTGGATGGATGGCTTTGGTAGTTCTCCATGTTTCCGCTCCATACAGTAGAACTGTCTTGACATTTGTATTGAAAATCCTGATTTTGGTTTCGGTTGAAAGTTGTTTGGAGTTGCAGATATTTTTAACTGTAGAAATGCAGCCCTTGCTTTGCCGATCCGCGCCCTCACATCTGCATCGGATCCACCTAGGTTGTCGATGATGCTGCCCAGATATGTAAATGTGTTAAGGTCCTTCAAGGCATCTCCATCAAGAGTGATTTGGTTGGTGCATGTTGTGTTGCATCGGAGAATTTCGCTTTTTCCTTTATGTATGTTGAGACCTACTGCTGCAGAGGCTGCTGCCACACTGGTCGTCTTTTGCATTTGTTGTTGCGTGTGCGATAGAAGAGCCAAGTCATCTGCGAAGTCCAGATCGTCCAGCCGTGTCCTAGCTGTCCAATGAATACCATGCTTCCCTCCAGATGCTGACGTCTTCATAATCCAGTCGATGACCAGGAGAAAGAGAAAAGGTGAGAGTGAGCAACCTTGTCTGACACCGGTCTTCACATGGAAAGAGTCTGTTAGCTGTCCATCGTGTACGATTTTGCAGTTGAATCCATCATAAGAATTCCTTTTGATGTTAACTATTTTCTCAGGCACACCGTAGTGTTGAAGAAGCCTCCACAGTGTTTTTCTATCCACACTATCGAATGCTTTCTCGTAGTCGATGAAGTTCATGTAGTTAAGCGGACTAAACTGGTCTTCTGTTGCTTCGCTGTTCTCCATGCCACTGCTTCCAGATCGAAGCGAAGTCCAACGGCCAGCGCCTACTATTAATAATGACAATAATATTACTACTATTATTATTACTCCAGACATATGTAGGTTTAATTACAGCCATAAAGGATTACGTTGTGTCATAAAATGAAAAATAACAGTTACACACGAACAAGCCAAATGTGTCTACGAATGAGCAATACCAGAAGTAATCGATCGATAACGAATTCGGAGTAGTCAGTCAGACGTAGAACATTTTTCAATGAGTTAGCTAGAAGCTTATAATAAACAAGAGATGTATACATATATTACTTAGTAACTATACAACAAAATTGTAAATAATAACAATAAGTTTCTTGCATTATTACATGTTTACACTTTGAATGAATCATCGACATACTCGTACACACAACACCTTACCGAATAGCTGCTGTTGGTTTTGATGACTGACAAGAGGTGTTTGCATACTGATTGCTTCCAGATATTGGTAGATGTACATATATAGTGTTCGTCATTATTCTGTCGATCTAACGTGTAAATTCGAATCACACTCCTGTTCAAAACCATAATAACGACTTATGTTTACATTGTGCTTTATATGTTGTATCACTATACTACTCACTATTAACTGATCGCTCGGTAGTTATCAATGTATTATGCTTCTCCGATCATTTCTATTTCTGATCAAGTTCCAATGTATGATCTCTGATCTAAATAACTCAACATGCAATTCACTATGTAAATGATGCCATATGGTTACATATAGTTTGGAGAATACCATGTAATTCAAACTCGTCAACATGTTGTATGTTCAACAGATCCTATGTTAAGGGATTCTCCTAGTTTCTCAATATGAAACGCCTACCACTAAGCTATCCGGGCTGCAACTAGTTAATTTCATGTCTGTCTAGTCCTTTTTATTGCTAGAGAGTGTTGGTTGATTTCTCAAATTGATAGATGGATAGATAGTTAGATATATGTGAATTCTGATGTGTAATTTTTCGTTCCTCTATATTCCGTCATGGTATATACCTTACTCAGATCGTACCTCATGTTTTCAATCAGTATTTGGTTGAGCTTTGTTAACTAGTTACGTGATTGAGTTTATGTTACCAAGAAAATTAGATACGCCTAATGCAATGGAATTAGTTCTTGCCTCCCTGTCTACTTGAACTAATTGAACATCATAAAAAGTACTCATTAATCGAATAACTCTAAACTGTCTCCTTCCAAATTTCCTTTTTTTTCCTCACTTAGCTAACTCCTGTTCATCATCTGGAAATACATGAGTTTAAAATGCGATGGACAGAGCAGCATAGAAATCTTGTCTATATTTTAATGGATAGTTATCAACATGCTCAATCGTTGAAAAAGAATTTGTCAGCTCGTGCACTTCATGGATTTCGTCTACGTCCTGATAGTGGCGGTAGTAGTGGTCATACAACTACAACAACAACAACGATGACAAACGGTGCCAGTGCTGTTGGGAAACCGGGTGCTAGTAGTAGCAGTAGTAGTGGCAGTAGTGTAGGCGGTACTGCTCTTAGTCGAAAGTAAGTTGTTGTGTTCATTGGTCTATACTCCGTTTCAATATGATATATATATATTCTGTGAACAAGTCAATGAAAGCTTGACAGACACTTTTCATATTTCATTTCATGTATTTCGTTTCAATGTGTAACGAACGTATGAGTAATCGGTTGTTTGTATTCTTCCATCCAATCTTTTTCTTTTCAGTGCTCATAGTGCAATTCAATTAACAAATACTCATAATATTAATAATAATAGTAATAGTAAACTATTCAATTCAACCAATAAACGTCCATCATCTACGATTATACAACAAAGTAAACCAAATTATTTATCAAAGAAAATGCCTACAAGTTATGAACTACAACCTGATACTATCAATACGACAACCACAACCACAACAGCAACAACAACCAATGATATCAATGATACAGATACAGAGAAACATGACTCTTTTGAGTATGAATATTTTCCAAGAAATTCATCAGTATTGTCGGACTCGAGTAAATCAAAACTATCGTGTTTTGAACAGATTCCAATGTTGGCACAATTGTTGGAGGAGGTGGATACAGCACGTTTTTATGCGTATTGTGAAGAGGTATGTTAATTTATCGATTGTATGTATTGTTTAGAGAGATTATATATGATCATATATTTGGGACATGTCTTGCGTATGCCGAACCATCGACTGCCTCGACGAACTTTGTTTTGTAGTGTAGGAGTAGGCTGGAAGAAAGTTAGGGGCGGCCAAACCAAAACATGGCAGAAATCCATGAAGTCATTGACAAGTGGACTGAGCCATGTCGGTAATTGTCGACTACCTGGTTGGGGTCCGCGAGATGATAATAATCGATGGTTAGAGACCTTGAATGACATGGCTCAAAATCGTTCGCAATGGCGCCGGTGCATTTATTCTCTGTGTTCTCTCAAATCCTAATCTTCTGGATTCTTCAACACCTCTAGTTTCGACTCTCTAAACTTTTCTCATTTAATCATACTTCTTGAATAATATCTTCTAATCCTAACCTCTCCGATTACTTCTAATTCCCTTTCTACCTCTTCTACTATTGGATTTGAATTGACGATTACTTCTCTGTGCTGATGTGGTATGGCAACATGAACTGATGTACTTATGTACAAAGTTCTACGTTGCATCTGACTGACTGACTGATATGATCATATATACATGTGTGTGTGTTCGTGTTTATAGTGTTTGAGGTTAATCGTTATTAAAAGTGAAGCAAAAGAAAGTCAACAAATCGCCTAGTAAACAATTCTTAATGTAAGGCTGATTGATATGTCTGTCTAATGTGCATGCATATGTGAATTGTTTCTACATTGATATAATGGTATGCCGGGATGAAGGTTAAGTAAAACTGTCTTTTTGTATCCTCCTACTTGTAAACATTTCTGTGATATATAAACTGTTGTTGTTGTTGTTGTTGTGTTGTACCAATTACTTTGAGAGCTATACCGTTATGATAATCTCTTAATTATGTTGATGTTGTAGTGAAGGTTTAGCTCTGTATTATTGTATAAGTTTTGTGTCATGAAAATATACCTGAGGATGTTAAATTTTATTCTG